GTGTCCACGTGGCCTAGCCTTGGGGCTTCCCATGAGCCCGAAATTGTGCTGGGGTGAGTCCCCTCTGCTTGGACAGGCACACCTTGGAGGTAGTGTGGTTCGGTCCCAGACCACCCACCATCCATCAAAGGAGCGTTGCAATAAAGCGAGCCGTCATCTTTTTGCTGGTGGAGGGTCTTGTCTCCCGTTTGTTAAAAATGCAGCATCTGCCGAAACCGGTTTGGCTCAGCGGACTGAAGGGTCCCGGGTTCGATTCTGATCAAGGGCATGTACCTTGGTTACGGGCACATCCCCAGTGGGGGGTATGCAGGAGACAGCTGATCGATGATTCTCTCTCATCGATGTTTCTGACTCTATCCCTCTTTCTTCCTCTCTGTAAAAAATCAATAAAATATATTTTTTAAAAAAATGCAGCATCTGTGAGCACGATAAAGCATGCGCAATAAAACGAGGGAGGCCTGTGTTGCCAGTGGTCTCTGTCCACTCATGCTCCCAGCCCAAGCCTCCCATGGGGACCAGGGGGTGGGCCTGTCCTGTCCAGGCCCTGCCTGTGCCTGTGGTTTGCAGCTGCCCCTGGGCACCAGGAAGGCTGTTCTGCTCAGGTTGCAACTTGGGGGGGTGTCAGCCTTGTGGCGAGGGCCACTGGCTTTCCCTAGTGCGTTCCCCGTGGCCCTCACTGCGTGTTCTTTTCTGTGATGACGGGTGGCCTGTGGCTGCAGGGCCTGTGGGTGCTAGGGCCTGCAGCTGCCCCTACTCTGAGAAGCCCTGGTTTCTCTCACCTGTCATCCTGCCACCCCAGCCAGCCAGCCTGGGACCCCTCCCCAGGCTGCAGCCTTAAGAACCCGAGCCTTTCCTGCATTAATGTGTGCTTCCGTTTCAGTAAAAATACACTGATTGCAATGAAGGAAATCAAAAGCATTGAACTTGGAGTCAGCCAGCAGGCCTCAAAATGGCGCAAGAAAGTGGATTGAACTCCCCTGCCTTCTCCCCATTATTTCCGCTGCTTTCTTCTCACCATGATATATATATTTATATCCCCCCCCCCCTCACTGAGTGGCCAGATTATTATGATCTCTGAATACATAATAATCTGGCCACTCTGTGTGTGTGTATACATATACATATACATATACATATACATATACATATACATATACACATACACATACACATACATATACATATACATATACATATACATATACATATACATATACATATACATATACATACACACATATTAGACGGGGGTGTTCCTCAGCCCAGCCTGCACCCTCTCCAATCTGGCACCCCTCGAAGGATGTCTCCAGGGATCGAGCCTAAACCAGCAGTTGGACATCCCTTTCACAATCCTGAACTGTTGGCTCCAGTCACTCACCTGCCTGCCTGCCTGCCTGATCGCCCCTAACCACTCTGCCTGCTGGCCTGCTCCTCCACAACTGCCCCCTCCCCCCACCAGCCTGATCACCCCTAGTTACCCCTGTGCTGGCCTGCTCACCCCCACCTTCCCTCCCCACTGGCCTGCTCACCTCCAACCCCCGCCTCGCTGACATGCTCACTTCAAACTGCCCCCTCCACTGTCCCAATGACCCCCACTGATGGCCTGCTCACCCCCAAAGGCCCCTGCTGTTCCATTCTGGCCTGATCACCTCCAAGGTCCCAGCTCCTCCTTTTTTCCTTTCTTTTTTTTCATGCCTCCTTAAGTGGAGGCCAGGGCCAGCTGGAAGCAAGTATCCAGGATTTAGTTTTCTTCTATAATTGAAACTTTGTAGCCTTGAGCAGAGGCCAGAGCCTGCCAGGGAAGCTTGGCTTCCGCCATTGCCAGGACAACCCAAGCCTCTTGCTTGCTCCAGCTCCGTGGCCGGCCGCCATCTTGGTTGGATTAATTTGCATACTCGCTCCTGATGGTAGTGTGGCTTGGCTAGTAGAGTGATGGTTAATTTGCATGTTTCTCTTTTATTAGTGTAGATATTAGAGACCTGGTGCATGAATTTGTGTATGGTTGGGTGTGGCCAGCCTGGCCAGGGAAGGGGACATGGACTGCCTGCTGGTCAAACTCCTGATCGAAGGGACAATTTACATATTAGCCTTTTATTATATAGGGTATAAACTGAGTGGCCAGATTATTATTATTTTTGCCTTCATTAAATAGAGAATAGGATTAGTGGTTAAGCATTCAGGCACAATAAGCAGACTTTTTGAGTTCAAACCTATTCTTCCACTTATTAGAGGATTTGAATTACTTGTTGCCAAGTTGCTCTGCACCTTGACTTTCTCATTTGTTAAATGGGCTGATGTGAACAGTACTTCCCTCCTAGGGCTATTTTAAAAAAAATATATTGTATTGATTTTTCACAGAGAGGGAGAGAGAGGGATAGAGTTAGAAACATTGATGAGAGAGAAACATCGATTAGCTGCCTCTTTCACACACCCTACTGGGGATGTGCCTGCAACCAAGGTACATGCCCTTGACTGGAATCGAACCTGGGACCCTTCAGTCCACAGGCCGACGCTCTATCCACTGAACCAAACCAGTCTTGGCCCTCCTCAGACTATTTTTAGTGGCCAGATTATTATGTGTTCAGAGATCATAATAATCTATCATAATATATACACACACACACACATATATACATACCGGTATATATTCATTATTGTTAAAAGTATTACATTACATTATCCTCCAATGATCTCTTCCAGCCCCCCTGCCTCCCAGGCCTTCCCCACCCTATGTCTGGGTCCATGGGTTGTGCATATATGCACACAAGGTCTTTGGTTGATCTCTTCCCACCTTCCCTGTGAGATTCCTCAGTCTGATCCCTGCTCCCATGCCTCTGGATCTATTTTGTTCATCAGTTGACTTTGTTCATCAGACTCCACATGTGAGTGAGGTCATGTGATACTTGTCTTTCTCTGCCTGGCTTATCTGGCTTAGCATGATCCTCTCCAGGCCCTCCGTGCTGCTTCGGAGGGTGAGACCTTTCTCCCACCGCGCACTGTTTGTGTGCAGAAGCTCAGGGGCGTGACCCTGCGTCTGTGCTGAACGCTCCCTCCATCCTCCGGTAACGGCGGGCTCCGTGGAAGCAGAAAGTTCACAATCACAGGTGGACTTTCCAATGACAGATAAGCAGAACATCTTTAAGAATTAAGATTTAAACGCTTTATTGCTCTGGATGGTAAATCAAAATATGCTTTAGAAATAGAGTTAATTTAATGGGAAGTAGGAATATATGCACCAAACCATACATTGCATTGAATTAAATCAAGAGAAACACTTCATTGCGTACAATCACTGTGTCCTGCTTCCCTCTCGGCACCCGGGAAGACCACCCTGGTCTCGCCCTACATTCCTGGTCCTCCTTCAGTCCCACACGGGCTTCTCTTGGAACACGATGGGGTGCCCATGACCCCCTCGGCCCCGAGGCCCTTGGCCTGGAGGCCGGGGCTGGGCTGAGGCTCCGGCCACGCAGAGACGGAGGGAGGCCGCCAGCCCTCCTGTTCCCCCACCACCGGGCTCTGAAAGGCACTCGTTTGGCAGGTTCCACTTGGTGTGTCTGACAGACACTACGTGTCTCCTTAGCAAGCGACAGGTCGGGGAGTAAGCGAGTGGAGGCAGCGGTCCATTTGGGTGGTTCAGCGAGTGGCCAGGCGCTTGGCAAAACGACGCGCGGCTGACCGGGCGGAGGCCCCTCGGGGCGGGCAGCTGGCCGGGCTCCGGGAGGGAGAGGGGCCCTCGAGGCCCGGATGCTGGTGGTCTTCACTCCGAACGGTGCCCGGTGCCGCTGTCCGCCAGCCCTGCCAGCTGGCGGGGTGAGGTGAGACCCGGCTGCTGGGACCTCCGGGGGTCCACCAGGGGACCGCGCCGGGCGTGAGGCACAGGAGTCTGCCCTCAGGCACTCGGGGTGCTGAGCGGGGTCAGGGGGACGGGACGGGTGCGGGGGTGGGGAGCAGGGAGCAGCATGTGCTTCACACCCTGGAATCGAACCTGGGACCCTTCAGTCCACAGGCCGACGCTCTATCCACTGAACCAAACCAGCCTCAGCCCCTTCACCGGGTGCCCCGAGTCCCCTTCCACGGCTCCAGGAGGGGCTGGTCTCAGGCAGACATCCGCAGGCATGTGTGGGCGCAGGCGGGCAGGATGGCGCTGCTCTCCCGGCCGGAGGTCTGCGTGCCCGGTGGCGGGTGGGCATTCTGCCCCCAGAGCCAGGGCTCTGCGTCTTCTGTCTCCCCGGCCCCGGGGTCCCGTGTGCTCCGGCCCTCCTGCTCCCGGCCTGGCTCTCCGGGAGTATGGAGGGGCCCACGCGTGCCCCCAGCCCCTGCGACTCCATCTGACTAGTGTTCCTGACACGGGCGTGGGCGCCGCGGGCACAGGATCTGAGGAGCAGCCTTCGAACTGTGTGTGAGGCACCCACGGCATCGGCGCTGGAGAGGGTCCCGGGAGCACCCCGCTCTGCAGAGAGGGGGGCTGGTCGGGGCAGGCGGGCAGGCCGGCTGCCAGGGGCATGGCTGTCCTGCCAGCACTGCTCCTGGGCCACGGGGCTGGGCCTACAGGTGAACCTGCTCACCTGGTGGCTTTGGCTGCTGCCGGGAGGACGGGGTCCCCGGAGGAGCCGAGAAACAGCCCCCTGGGGGGAGGAGGGCGGGATGGACTCACAGAGAGGGCAGGGGGCTCCCCCCACCGCCTACAGGGCACGCAGGGGGCCTGGGTCCAGGTGCTGAGCTGACCTGGCCTGGCCCGGCCCGGGGACGCCCTCACCAGCTGACGGCACCTGCGAGCTGCCTCCGAGGTGAGACGTGGCTGGGGCCGCCTGGGCTCTGGACGGGCGCCGGCTCTTTGGTTTGTGGACGGGACAGGGCCGGCGGGGCAGGGCCGGCGAGAGGAGGGCAGGAGCGAGGCGGTCTCGGAGGGCCGTGAGGAGGTGGAGGGACCCAGAGGGGCGGTGGCTGATTCCTAGCGGCGGCGGAGGGGGCGGGCGGGCAGCGGGGCAGCCGGCAGGAGCTCAGTTGCCCGGCACGCTGAGGGTGAAGCCGGAGCGGCTCTTGGTGAAGTCGGGCTGGGGCTGGTTGAGCCGAGTCTCCACGGACACGGTGCACTTCTTCCCGTTCAGGCTGCACTGCACCGGGTTGGTGACGTTCACTTGCAGGTGGCGCTTCTCACTGGGAACCGGAAGGAGAAAGAGCAGACGGGCGGTTAGCAGCAGCCAGAGGGGGGGACGCCCGGCCCCCCAAGCCTGCCTCTGGCCGAGCTCCCTGGGCCCCCCGATGCCCAGGGGCACGGGCACCGGGGGCCTCCCCTGAGGCCTTGGGAAGCCCCAGGAGGCTGGTGGTGGAGGTGATGGGGGGTGGCCTCCAGCCAGAGCTTCGGAGAGCAGGGCTGACCCTTCGACCTCTGACCTCTGAGCCTGGCTCCGGAACCAGCGTGTAGAGTTGGACCGGAGGAGGGGGAGGCGGTGAGCCTCAGCCACCACGTCCCCGGCCTGAGACCAGGGACTTGCGGTGTCAGTGGGGGCCTGACATGAGGGCTGGGGTTCCTTCTGATGCACAACCATCTCGGGAACCGACTGCAGCGGGAGCCCTGAGCGCTCCATGTCCGTCCGGGGCCGAAGGAGGCTGCCCTGCACGCCCCGGGGAGCGGGAGCCGCTCGCCCTGTCCGCCCGGCACGGGGGCAGCTGTGTGCCAGCTGTGAGCACGGGTCTGGCTGCCGGGGCCCCGGAGCCTCTGGGGCTGGGACGGCTTTGCCACTGCGCCCCAGGCCGCGCTGCTGCCGGACCCACCACGGGCGGGAGGGCGGCCACGTGAAGACTGAACTGGAGCGCACGCTGGGCCTGGAGCCTGTGCCCCTGCTGCCTGAGGGCTCAGCCAGGCTCCAAAGGGGGTCCGTGCCCAGGAGGCCGGAGGGGGGGTCAGTGAGGCTGGGTGCACCTGCTGAGTAGCAGCAGCCCCTCCCGACCCCCGCGCCCGCTACCCAGATACACTGCAGAGCGGCTTATTTTAAGACCCTAGAACGTCTCTAAGTAGGCTGCCCTCACACCAGCTGCCCTCACACCGAACCTCGGCTTGTGCCTCGGCAGCTCTGTGCCGGGAGGAGGGAGGAGGGAGGAGAAAGACCTGGTGGCAGGGGGCTCCGCTGCTCTGCTGGGCTCCTGGCTGCGTCCCTCCCTGTGCTGCACAGCGAGTGCCAGGTGTCTGCACCGCAGGGCAAGTGGGCCGAGGCCGCAGGCGCTCCCCTCTCCGCCTTCCCTGCCTCCGGGCCGGGTGACAGGAGGCGCTTTCCAGGCTCCCCAGCCCGGCTCCGAGCAGCCGGTCCGTCTGTCCGGGCCGCAGACAGCGCTCAGGCAGGCTCCCCGAGGTGCCCCGCCGCGGGCAGCACTCGGGTGTCCTCTCAGGCCTGTCCCTCCCTGGTGCTCAGAAACCCGTCGTGGAGGCAGAAACGGGCGCCAGAGGAGACCAGGGCTGTCACTTGTGGGCCTTCGGCCTCTTGCTGCCTTGTCAGCTGCCGCTGAACCTGGGCTCTGCCGGCTATTTTTAACCCGCCCGGACGTAAAAATAGCAGAGCCATCGGAGGCGGTGACGCAGGCCCCTCGCCCCTGCGGGAGCCGGGCCTGCTGTGCGGGCAGGTGCGGGCCTGGCAGCCGGCGGGCGGGTCCACGTGGGGCCCGTGGCCAGGAGCACTGCCCCCCGCTGCCTGCGTCCTCCCTCCCGCCTGTGGGGCCCGGTCCACCCCGTGGGCTCCAGAACCACCTGAGCCTCAGACCTGGGGAAAAGGTTCTGAAAGAGCCCATTCCAAATCAGCTGGTGAAATCTAACAGAGGAAACTGAACCCCTAGCCACCCCCTGTGCGGGCAACCAGACCAGGCTACTCTCTACGCAGCCCTTCCGACGAAGGACCCCTCCCGCCACGAGCTCAGGGGCAGCGGAGAGCCCTGCTTTGGGCTCTGTATCCCCAGCGTCTGCTCTGCAGGCCCAGTGCGGGGCTGGCAGGAACACGAGGAGCAAATGGCTACTGCAGAACGGCGCCCCAGGGTCACCAGGGCACACCTTCACCTTGGAACGGAGCCCACGGGCGGGGGCTGCAGGATGAAAGAGGCAGGGGCCAACCACTGCTCCAGCCCGCCCGCCCCACCCCGGGCTGGGCGGAGAGTGTCCCGTGAGCACGGTGGGCACCTGCTGCTGGCGGGGGAGCAGGTGGGGGAAGGAGGGCCAGCCCGCCCCAGGGAGCAGAGCGGAGGCAGGACCGTGTTCTGGGACACCCAAGCCCGTGAGACACAAGTAACTGTCAGTTATGTATGAGAAACATTTTTGAAGTTTTAATTACAGGTGACCTACAGTATATGCTATGGGTGTAGAACATGGTGATCAGACATTTACATAACGTACACAGTGGTCCCTTAGTAAGTCTAGTGCCCGTCTGGCACTATACACAGTTATTAGATATTACGGACTACGCTCCTGCTGTACTTGACATCCGTGACTGTTTTTATAATTGGCAATTTGTGCTTCTTAATTCCTCGCCTTTTTCACACTTCTTCCCCCTCCCCTCCGAAATCCGGCAGCCATCAGCTTGTTCCCTGTACGTGTGAGTTTGTTTGTGGTTTATTTATTTTGTTCTTTAGACCCCCCCCCGCCCCCACATATAGATGACATCATATAGTTCTTGTTCTTCTCCGTCTGCCTTATCTCAGCAGAATTCCCTCCAGGTCCATCCATGTTGTGGCGATGGCAAGATTCCATCCTTCTCTCTTTAGGGCTGGCTGACAGTCTGCTGCATGTTTGTACCATGTCTTCTTTGCCCATTCACCTATTGGCGGGCGCTCAGGTTGCTCCCATACCTTGCCTATTGTAAATAATGCTGCAGGGAGCATAGGGGTGCGGACATCTTTTTAAATGAGTGCTTTGTGTTTCTTTAGATAAATACTCAGAAGTGGCATTGCTGAGTCATGTGGTAGATCTATAACTTTTTAAGAAACCTCCATACTGTTTTCTATGGCTGCACCAATTTACAGTGATTGATGGCAGCCATTCTAATCGGTGTGAGGTGTTATCTCATTGTGGTTTTAATTGGCATTTCCCTGATGACTACAGTTGAGGATCTTTTGGCCGTCTGTAAGTCCTCTTGGGAGAAATGTCCATTGGGGTCCTCTGCCCATTTTTATTTTTATTTTTTGGAATAGCAAAGGTGGTGATTTATTGAAGAACAAGTACAGAGTCCCAAGTAGGGAGGGGGAAAGGGTCCCCCTCTGCCCATTTTTAGAAAAAAATCAATCCTCACCCAAGGATATTTTTCCCACTGATCTATTTTTTATTTAATTAATTTTTTAGTGTGAAAAAGAGGGAAGGCAGGAGGAAGTCTTGGGGAGAGTCAGGAGAGAAACACCGATGTGAGGGAGACAAGTCAAGTGGTTGCCTTCCACAGGCACCCGGGAACAATCCTGCAATCCAGGTGCATGCCCTTGACCGGAGGAGATCGAACCATTGGCCCTTTGATCTAGACGCCTGTTCTTGTATCAGTGCCAGGCTGTTTTGATTACCGTAGCTTTGTAGTATAACTTGATATCCAGTATCATGATTCCTCCAACTTTGTCCTTTCTCAAGATTGATTTGGCTATTTGAGGTCTTTTATGTTCTATACAAATTTTAGGATTGTTTTAGTTCTGTGAAAAATGCCATTGGAATTTTCATAGGAACTGCATTGAATCTGTAGATTGCTTTGGGTAGTATGGAGATTTTAATGAAGTTAATTCTGCTTATCTATGAGCATGATATATGTTCCCATTTACTTATATATTCTTCACTTTCTTTCTTCAGTGTCTTACAGTTTTCTGAGTACAGGTCTTTTTACCTGCTTGGTTAAATTTATTCCTACGTATTTATTCTTTTAGATGCAATTGTAAATAGAATTTTTGAAAAATTACTCATTCTGGTAGTTGTTGGTATATAAGATGCAACCATTTTCTAAATATGAATTCTGTATCCTGCTACCACTTTATTGAATTATTAGTTCTAATAGATTTTTTTTTTTTTTTGTGTGTGTGTGTATAGGTTCTCTGTATCTGGTGTGTCATATGCAGATAACAGTTTGTGATGCTTTTTATTTCTCTTTCCTATCTGATGGTTGTAGCTAGGACTTCTAATATGTTAAATAAAAGTGGTGAAAGTGGACATCCTTGTCTTGTTCCTGATCTTCAAGAGAACATTTCTCTTTTCACCACTGAGTATGCTAGCTGTCGGTTTGTCATATGTGACCTTCATTATGTTGAGATATGTTTCCTCTATCCCCAGTTTGCTGAGAGTATTTATCATAAATAGGTATTGGACTTTGACAAATGCCTTTTCTGCTTCTATTGATACGATCATAGACTTTGTCCTTCATTTTGTTTATTGATTTGTGGATTTTGAACCAGCCTCGCATCTAAATAATAAATCCTACTTGACCATTGTGTCTGACCTTTCAGTGCATTGCTGGATCCAGTTTGCTAATATTTTGTTGAGGATTTTAGTATCTATGTTTATCAAGGACACTGGCCTATAATCTCCCTCCCTGCGATAGAGTGTTGGCCTGTAGACCAAAGGGTCCCTGGCTCTATTCTGGTCAAGGGGCATGTGCCTTAGTTGCAGGTTCCTCCCTGGCCCAGGCCCTGGTGGGGGCTTGTGAAGGAGGCAACCAATCAATGAGTTTCTCTCACATCATGTTTCCATCTTTCCCTCTCTCTTCCACTCTCCCTAATATCCTCAGGTGAGGACTAACAAAACAAAATAAAAAGAACCAGATCTTGGTTTCATTGATTTTCTTTTTCTACTTCTTTTTAGACTCAATTTTGTTGATTTCTACTCTCTATTATTTTCTCCCTTCTGTTCCTTTTGTTTTTGTTCTTTTTCTAGTTCTTTAGGCATAAGGTGAGATTCTTTAATTTATTGAGACATGTTTTGTGGCCTAACATGTGGTCTATCTTGGAAAATATTCCGTGTGCCCTTGAAAACAATGTATATTTTGCTGTTTTTGGGCAAAATGTCCTAAAAATATCAATTAAGTCCATCTGGTCTAAAGTGGCATTTAAGGCCACGGCTTCCTTGTTGATTTTCTGAGGGATCTGTCCATCGATATCAATGGGGCATTAAAGCCCCTACTATAACTGTATTACGTTAACCTCTCCCCTTG